AGGGACCTCTGTAACAGTAACATAATTAACCTTCAGATAATTTAGTCTTTTTTCAATTTTTAAGAGACGAAAAACTAACACGGTTTTTTGGAGTAGGTGTATTTGATCTCTGTTGCCTAGTGGCTCATTTATCGTCAAAATTTTGTAGAAGATACCAGCTATTAGTTGGAGGCATATTAAGAAAATAATTTTTTTTGCCTAATAGTTCCGAAATTTGCCGTAGTGGAAACGCATTAGAAGCGGACTGACAATATATCCTGAGTCAAAGCGATGTTCTGTTTAGAAAACTGAGATCTTCTAAAGAAATGAAATTTTCACCTACAGACTCTATTACTTCACATTATCCTACTAGCTCACGCGCAAAGTTAATTATAAAAGAAAGGAGGGTGAGGTAAATTCATGCTTACTGAGTTCGCCTCAAAGGTTCTGCAGTAAAAGTCCCCAATCATAACCTCGGGGTACTTTTGAGCACTAAAAATAAGACTCTTTTTTGGCGTTTATCGATACCATCAATGTGATTGTCGAATCAAAAATTAAAAACTAATCCATCAAGCTATTAACAACTGGAAAAAATATTGAATGTTTAACTCTCAAAACATTTCGAGAATCAGAAGAAAACCTGACAGAAGGCCTAAAAGCGTGAATTGTCACAAGTGAGTGCCATCGCTACCAGCAGGTGATTAAGAACTTAGCAAATAAAGGAATGGGGGATGTTAGCGGCAAGTGTTTAGATTTTTGTGGGATAATTTTTGACTTTACGTGTATAGACTAATGTAGGTCCATCCTCGTATTTGTAAAGTTTCTTTTGTAAAAACTCCACCTACCCGATATTGTTTAGAAGAAACCTTGTTAAAACTTAATATTGTTTCAAAAAGTGACGTTCTGAAAACAGTTTAAAATTCTTGCCCATAAGCTCTTATTGGTTCTCTACTAAAGAATGCCGTTTCGATTCCTCCTTAGGCATGTCGAATCTTCATTTTCCTTTTCAGGAAATTTTTGGCAGTAGCTTCCAAGCCCTAACCATTAAAATTTTTTGCTCACTCATTAGGAACTCTCTTTTTTGAAAAGCTGCTACTGCTTTCTTTTATATTTATGAAGGTAGAAACGAAAAAAGGAGATGAAAAGTTGTGGTGTCGTTTTCCCTTTAGCTTACATAAGTGTGCCGGCAAATTGGCGATGAAGTACAAGCACGTTTCTTTGCTAAGGCATTTTCGCATTTCTCAAACAGCCATTTGAGATGGCTGGCTAGCTTGATAACGCTAGACTCAGTAGATATAATTGAATGCAACCAGATCACACTAAAACAACTAATGATATTTTGTATTGGGGTACGACGGATAAAAGGTATCTGGTTTGAGTGGAAAATATTGAGGAGTTATTGTACCAAACACTGTAATAACGTCGGCACTGTAATTGAAGCATCTCATTTGGCAGGAAGGTCGAAGGATATTGCCAAAGTAGTTGCTCTTGAGGCTGAGATTGTTAACTGAAGGTGGGATTTTAGCCGGTCTGCCAAGCAAGTCATACAAGCTGCACGCTAAACTTTACAAGTTAGAATTGCAGTGAGGAGATTTGCAGTAGAGGAAAAAGAGTTAAATTATATGAACCCCAAAAAATTCACAGCCGAAAGTTTGTGGTCCTATATGGAAAGTGATGTTATTTCCGAGGGGTGCAAGTGATGAATTATTAAAGACAATCGGAGTTTACTCCAATTAGTTGTTTTTCAGTGATCGCTATATGATTTTGGCATTCGCATATAAGCCATAAATTACTGGTACTGGAGGAAAAGGAATTGATAAATTACAAAATTTTGTCCTCTTCTGTGTACTTTTTGACTCACATGTGAAGTGGAGTTCCAAATTTGTCTGCTTGACCTAAATACGAACGGCGCTGAAAACTGGATTTACCTTTAATCAAAGGAAAAATTTGATAAAAATTGTACTTTGTGGCTGTGGAATGTTTGAGTATGTGAGACAAGGATTTAAATTTAGATAATCAATTGCAGATGATTTGGTTTTTTTTTTTTGTTGGTATGTCAATGATGAGCCGTGTTATAGTTCTGATCAGGTATCGAAGGCGAGAGTCACATGCAACTATAGTGGTTGCTTCTTTTTAATATCAGTGCTGCGGGTATCGGAGCTCAACAGACTTTTCAGCGCATCAAATATGCATAAAATTTGAGTCAAAAAAATTTGATAGAAACTTTCTTTTGTGTTTTCTTTTCTTTTTGCTCATTCGTCGCTCATCTTGCATAGTTATAATGAGTCTAATTAAAATTTCTGTATTGTTGGACTTATTTTGAGTTTTTAGATTAGATTTTCAAAATCATTTGCAAATAAGCATACACAGGGCATAGCAAACATGCTAAGATTTTGTTTCTAAACCCCATCGGGAATAGAGTTGAATTAAATTTGGTGCGTTTTTCATAATTATACTTATCTAAATTTCTCATTTCTGCCAGATGACAAGGGTTGCGAGAAAGAAGGTCTTGAGAAAACTAATACAAAACTACTTATTTGCATTTATTTCAATGCCAGGGATGTAGTAATAATGAGGTCCTCTGACAATCGGGTCACACAGTATGTTTATCAGGAAAATGTATATCAAAGCATTATAAGGAGTTTGCTATACGGGATTATGCTGTCAGTGTTTCGAACTTATCTTCTATCAAAATATTGTCAGTCACTTTGGGGATAAGACGTGCTTCAAAACTAATATTATGAACCTGTTAAGGCTTTAGCAGTAAATCTGACCAAATCACAAATAATACAGTTAAGTTGAAAGCTGCTTCTTCTGGAACTGTAAAGAGGAAAATACGAAGGCTGTAGGAAAACACCACTTTTTTGTTTTAAAAGTATGCTACGTTTAGGTTATGAGGCAAACAAAATGAAGTTATTTATGACATAATTTAGTTATAAATTCCTTTGACATTCAAATTAACTACGTCATTTAAATGATACGGCTATTCAGATTTTTTACTTTCTAACCTGTACATTTGTAGGGGTTTTCTAAATTTTTTATCGAAGTGAAAAAGCCAACATTTAAAGTGGTAAAAAGTGTTCTGCAGATAGAAGGACATCGATTTAGGCTTTTAACTGGTTTAGAATTTGAAATAAGTTTGGCTTTTGTCGTTAAAAATTTTAATATATCTTCAATTTTCCTTAATTTGTTGATACTAATTTTGATCTCTCTGCAGCTTGCTTAAATAAACAGATTAATCCCGTCTAATGCCAATTTTTTCACATTTTTTGAAACATATCAAGACCTACTGCTATTTTACTAATAACCACATTTGTTTCCTCACTCTTCCCTCTCATAATGAGAAACCACATACAGTTTGGTTACGCGTCTTGTCCGATCATCTTTTTAGTTATTGTGGTTCATCTTGCAGTGGTTGTTTTGAAACATTTAACTTTTTATTTCTTTGCTTTCAAATTCAATTATAGAGGGGAAAACAAAGCCAACAAAACAATAATTATTTAAGCTAAGGTTGACTGGAACCAAAGTGGAGTTTCTGGAATCGAACTGGAGTTAAGTATAAAAACCAAAAGCTTAGCAAAAAAACAGCTTTTAGAAACCTTGCCTCATCTTATTAATTATCAGCAGTAGGGTTCGAAAGCAAAACGGGCAATCGGAAACTGAGAGAACTAGAGAAAGACCTGAAGTTTGACTGCTGATCTTCGTTTTAGGGGGGTACTGCTTTTCTAATCGTAGGGGAGGAACTGGGTAGGTAAGAAACTAGCTAAAGCTTGCCCAGTCAGATTGACAGGTCGTATTACAAGCTGATATTGAACCATTACCTTTTTGAGCTTTTCATATATTTTAAGATACTAAGAGGAATATAATAGCAGTTGAGAATATCTGTAGCCGTAATTTTTTTCTTTGAAAAAGCTTTTTTGCTATGGCAAAAAATAGAGGAAATAAAAAAGAAATGAGCTCTTTAATTTTTTTTAAAAGTCAAGTGCAGAGAGTTAGGGAAATTTTATGGGTTGGCCTGAAACGAATGCTAGAAGAAGTGGTAAGTAGAAACATGCAATTTATTGACAATTTGAAATTGCTATCTGATAAAGTGTAAGCTTTATTCTGTGAAAGTGACTAATGCTTACACAATTACTGTCAAACTTAAGTGGCTGCAGTAATTTACTGCCTAGCAACATTAAAGCGAACCAATACAACTGGGGAAAATTGACATTTACTTAATCCTGTCAGACAAATTCGTGAGTTTACTTCGCATGACAGACGGGTACTGTTGTCTCAGAAGCCTCTGAGCAATGGTCGTAATTCCTATATTAGTTACTTCAAGTAGCAACAAAGGGAAAAAGGACGTTGAACACTTAGACCAATGAAAAAAGACTGAAATTTTTTGTATCTCTGTTTTCTACCAGATACAAAATTTTTTTTTATTTTGTTGACAGAATATCAGTTTTGAAACGCCGAACAGCAGTTCATTTAGAAAAAAGCTAAAAATATTTTTTAGAACACGGCAGAGTCACTTATTTCGAGGCTGTTTGGTGACTCGTCTTACTCGAGGGCCAGTAAGAATATTTTGTCTAGCTGTCTGTAGCCTGAAGATATTATATTTTTTTGAGGATGGTGACTAAGTGCCCTCGAACAAATCTAGCTAGTGTTCATTAACAAAACGTTTTTTCGATCAACAGGATAAAAACATCTCTTTGTAGTTAAAACGAATGGTGAGTACAGATGGTGGTGAATTCTGGGGATTTGGTGGTGCCAGAGAATTTAGGCTGCATAAGAATGCATGAGATCGATGCAGTGAATGACACTGTATGAAATCGTTGTTTTTCTTTCCCTGCTAGTTTTGGTTGAAATGAAATAAAGACAGATGCAATAATTTAAAATGGTTTTATTTTATCCTCTAATACTCTAAATTTTGTCTTCACTTTTTTGCATTTGCTAAATTACAAAGGTTTTTGAAGATTTCCAAATCCATATTGCTTAATCGCCAAAGTTATCCTTTTTCGCTAATAATCAAATACATATTAAGTGGTGTTTGATTCTTTTTTTTCAACTTCTAAGTCCGGCGGAATTAGCCAAAATGTCTTCATGACTCCTTTTCCCTAAATATCCATATCTTTATCTCACTTCCCCGTGCAGCAAACCATAGTAAGAGAGATTGAGTTATTTATAACTTTTTTGAAAAGATTTTGCCGTACGCGACCTTTGGTTTTTACCACATGGTCCCTCTTAACGAATCTTTGTTTCAATATATTTGCAAAATTCGGAAGGAATCGTTTGTGACCAACCTTTATAATAATGTCACCCCTACACTCGGTTTGATAGCCGCCTATGACCTGTGTCAAATATCTGTTAGTTTCTGAAGATATGTGTATTTTGTCTGCTGAAATGAATTGGTTTTCAGAAATGAGGAATATAATGAAAACTTCCCTTTTTTACGTTTTGCAGCCGTTTTTAAACAAGTGTATATCCAAGATGTACTATATACAAACGTTCTCCATTGCTTTCCATTCTGGAAGCTGTATTGACGGTGTCACCAAACAAACAGTAGCGGGGCATAGCTTGTCCAATCACTCCAGCTACCACAGGCCCTGTAATAAGGTTATAGACATGCATAATAGTTCTAACTGCAAATTGAAAGCCTGATTTGTTTGTAGTTTCTTTTCAACCAAAATTATTTTTGATTTCAACCAAACAACAAACCGGTGTGTATACCAATGCGGATTCTAACTTTCTCTTCAGGAAGATGAGAAATTACAAATGTTTTCAGTTGACTAAGGAATTTGAAAGCCATTTCTGCAATTTCACGAGCATGATCATTGCCGTTTCGATGTGGTAATCCTGAGACACACAAATATCCATCGCCAATAGACTCTACCTGTAAGCATTAGAATATATTTTGATTAGTTAAAATTACAGCTATTACTCACTTCAAATTCCGTGTGAAATTTTCTGGAGATTCTCATAGATATGTATTCATAAGATAAGCGTCCTTTATAGTAAAAAAATTTTACGCTGTTTGCATTAGAATCTGCTTACTTTGTAAACTTCGCACTGTTCAATTATTGCGTCCAGTACTGTATAGAGGTTGTTTAGAAAACACACAACCTAAATATGATCCTAAATATATGAAGACAAGATTTCTGTTTGAATCACTGCGACAAATAGCAGTCATTTTGAGGAATAGGAAAGACAAACTTGAATGGGGGTGCATTTTCTAGCTAGTTCAGTGAACTTAACGACATCCGAGAAGAAGACGGTAGCCGCATCAAATGATTCTGGTATGACAGTTTCGCCTCGTTTTAGTTTTTCAGCAACTTGCCTGTAAAAGATTAAAAGTATCAATACTGTTAGACGCAGATCCTACGCATTCTGTTTACTTTGGAAGCATCCTGTAGAGGAGTCGGTCAGATTTCTTTTGTTCTTCTATCAGCTCTTGCGTTCTTTGTTCAACTTCCTCTTCTAAATTTTGAGCATGTTCTTCCATCATATTGTAGACATGATCCATTAAATTCCTAAAACGAAAGGCGTGAGTGAAAAGTCAACTGGACATAAGAAAAGAATGCTTTGAAAAATAGCTAATAAATAATACTATAAAATTTAAAGCCTTAATTGGGTCGCCATGTTACTTTCTAAAGAAAGCGCGTAAAGCAGCTACAGGTGAGTAAAAATAACTTTAAAAAAGGTACTATTAGACTATTTAAAGAGCTTAGTCTACTTGTCTAACTGTAGACATTACAAGGATAAAATTTGTTTTTTTAAGGGGATTCTCTGCAATTTTGTACCTCCGACTGTTGTGAGGTAACTGGAATTTTTAAATTCACAAAGCAGTTAAGGCTTTTACTTACTCGCCTCAACATTTGTTGACTCCTTAAAAAGATGCTTTACAAGCGAAAAAGGTAGTGAAAACTTGCTCTCTCAGTTTTCAAAGAAGTGCGGAATGTCAGTGTACGATGCATTTAGGACATAATAATTGGTTACCCTTTTTGGCCTAGTAAGTTCAAGACTTCTCTGATGTTTCTGGCATCAGGACGTGAGCTCGGATCCTCAGCCCAGCATTCTCGAATAAGACAAACCGAAAAAATTAACATGTCAGTTACTGTCGTATCTGTGGGGACAGTGCCGACAAATAACAGTGCATATTTTAAAGTTAATTTCTTTCAAAAAACGTCAAAGTTTTAATGATTCCTTATTCTTTCTGGTTATTTCAACCTAAATTTTTTCGTTTTAGATATTTTCACCCTCAAAAGTAATGCTGAATTGATATAGGCTTCTAAAACGTCTAGGCAAAGATGTCCACTACGGCTGCAACGTTTCTGGTTTATTTAAGAAAATAACCTGTGTATTTGAAAGGGTAAAATATCTGAACTTTGAAAGGTGATCTATAGTCAAGAACTTCATTGCGAGCAACGGTTTTTTAACATATAAGGCGCCTCCTGCATTTAAGTATCAAAAAGAATCATAAAAGCCTACCACCGCTGGACTAAGCTCGTGAGCTTCATCTATGATCAGTTCTGGTCGAAACGGGTTAGGACCAGTTCGTTTTATTTTGAAGATCAGCTCTAAAAGATTACGTCATTGAGAAAGAAGTAAAGTATAGACGAAGAGTTCAAGTAATAACTTTGCGCATGCAAAAAGTTTTACAAGGAACTGGGCTTTCACCTTCGACACTTTCTTCCCGCTCATTGAAATCGAATGGCGGCTTTTTGGTCACAATTTCGGAGCATATAATTGCAAAACTATATATGTCTCCCTCCTTCGTTCCAATGTTGTTCGACTGACGAAGAAGTTCTGGGGCAGTCCATAAATAAGCTAAATTCCTGACTTTTTATAGAGAGCAACAGAAGTGATGCATTTTGTCGTAAGCAACAAACCAAGCATATCAAAAATGGAAAGGAATTTGAGACAAACTTTCTTTAGGTCTTAGCTCCAGTCGTTTAAGGAAATGAAGCCCGTATTCGCTGATTTTCACCTGCCAGCGCTCGTCAAGCAAGCAGCACGATGAGGTGAGATTACCGTGCCATCTAGTTAGCGAGTTGTGAATGTAGAAAATCCCCTCAAATTTATCAAAACATTTGTTCTAAGTAGAAGTACATAACCATTAAGTCTATCTATAACCTGTACAAATAAAAATATGTGTCATCAAACATCGCTTCTAATTTTTTTATCAAAATAAATTTTGATAAGTATTTTATAAATTTGCCGTCTCTGTACTATTCTCAGGAGCTATTTTGCTCTCCTAGTTACCGTCGTCTGGCACAACAATCTAAACTAATCTGCGGCTTTAAAATGCCCACTTATTAGTCCCTAGAACTTCATTGTCCCTATGATAATCTTTATTGTCCCCTTCCTTTACTGTTCTTTTTAGTATTTTCAAAGAAACGCTGCTAGAAGACTGCATAGGGATTTGTAAAAAAAGAGCGCTAAATAAACTGTCAAGGTACTCACCTCACATAAGCCTCGCATTATCGATAGCATAAAAAATGTGTCAATGTTAAGGGTCCCTGCTTCTATCAAGTTCTGGAAAGAATAACTGTTAATTTGTTTTACACGGAAAGAAAACTTGTGGTATGCTTAGTGTATGTAACAGAAAAGTTGCTATTA